CACACACACACACACACCACCCCCTCCCCACACACATTAACCACCAACAGCTCAACCTCCACCACCCCTACCCTCTCCTCTGCTCTAAATAACCGCTATTATGTGGATATATATCCATATTATAATCATACATTATCCTCTGACTAATTAATGACCATTGTTTTGTGGATATAAATCCGCAATATTATATATTATCATCTGCACGAAATGACCTTTGTATGTGGATATGTTATACATTATGCTCGTCTGCACTAAATGACCCTTGTTATGTTGAAGTACACTATAGTGTACATCTATATGTTGGAGTGTTCGTCTGCTCAAAGATGTGGCACTGACTGCCTTGTTGTTTTTGTCTCCAAAGTGAGAGGTCGTGGATCTGCAGCAGTTGGGCCACTAGCCCAGCCACAGGGGCGCCAGAACTCACAAAGTACAGCTGAAGGAACGCCGGAAATCATGCGAGGTAATTCAAAATGGGTGCGGTGGCATGGCGGAGCGGTTAGTGCGCTCGTCTCCGAAGCGGAAAGTCCGGGTTCGAGCCTTGGTTCGGACAGGGATTTTTGTTCGCCCCCTCCTGCCCACCCAGCAGTAATGTCACAATGTGTTCCTGACCTCGAGTTGGGGAAGTAAAGGCGGCGTGGGAAGGAACTGCCCACCCAGCAGTAATGTCACAATGTGTTCCTGACTTCCAGTTGAGGAAGTAAAGGCGGCGTGGAAAGGAACTGGCCACCCAGCAGTAATGGGTGCGTACCTGACTTCGAGTTGGGGAAGTAAAGGCGGCGTGGAAAGGAACTGGCCACCCAGCAGTAATGGGTGCGTACCTGACTTCGAGTTGGGGAAGTAAAGGCGGCGTGGAAAGGAACTGGCCACCCAGCAGTAATGGGTGCGTACCTGACTTCGAGTTGGGGAAGTAAAGGCGGCGTGGAAAGGAACTGGCCACCCTACCACAATATGCCGAAGGCCCAGGAAGTTGTCTCACTAACAAGGCAATCCCCAATGTCCGGATCGGATGCGGGAACAACTTTACTTTACTTTGAATTCAAAATAGTTTTTCAATATAAATACAATGTAACATTATAATAATATTAATGACATTATACGAACAAGTTTTATCGACTCTTCAAAAGCGTTCGTTTATGTCGTAAACCATGGGATGATGTGCCAAAACTTTAAAGGAAAGGATCTTTCACCCAAAGCTGATTTGTATGACCAAATGGCAGAATGGAAAGAGACGGTGTTTTCTCGCAGCAAGGTCCAAGAAGCAATATCCAACTACTGGAAAAAAACAACAACAACTAAAAATGAAAAGATATGATTTTTTTTTTCATAGCCACTGCATGATGGCCTACTCTGTTGTTGTTGTTGTTGTTGTTGTTATTGTAATTTGAGTCTTATAAAGTCACTGATCATGCTACTAAATGATGGTTATTATATCGACATATATGTTCCTCTGTGCTAAATGACCGTTATTGTGTCGACATGTTTTAACAGCATCTATTTCTGTCATCCCCGGCAGGCGCCCAATCACGTGACCCACATCCACAACAAGGCGCCCAATCACGTGACCCACATCCACAACAAGGCGCCCAATCACGTGATCCTCAGCCCCAACAAGGCGCCCAATCACGTGACCCACATCCACAAGGTGCCCAATCACGTGACCCACATCCACAAGGTGCCCAATCACGTGACTCACATCCACAACAAGGCGCCCAATCACGTGAACCACATCCACAACAAGGCGCCCAATCACGTGATCCTCAGCCCCAACAAGGCGCCCAATCACGTGACCCACATCCACAAGGTGCCCAATCACGTGACCCACATCCACAAGGTGCCCAATCACGTGACTCACATCCACAACAAGGCGCCCAATCACGTGAACCACATCCACAACAAGGCGCCCAATCACGTGATCCTCAGCCCCAACAAGGCGCGCGGGACATCAACAACAACATCAACAACCAAAACTGGCCAGAATTCACTCTGGGTAATCCAACGTCTTCCTTTGGTTTAGATG